TGGGGTGCAGGCGGCAGAACTCCACCGCCTCCGCGTGCCCCCTCCTACACGCCCTTTTAATGGGGACAAACCGATATAGCAACCGGCTCGGGAGTAGCGGATTCTCTCCTCTGCTCCCACGACCCGCACCCTGCGGGCGAGCGGCAGCCTCCGTGCTCCCGCTCTATGGAGCCCCCGTTGGGACTCCTGGTGGACATGCACTACACAGCATCCCCACCGTCGACAGCATCCTCTTGGCGCCGCCTAACTTCGTCCGACCCCTCCTGAGTGGATAAGTCGGTCGCTGTGACACTTTCGCTAGTGCCCCCAGCGGTAGCAACTCTGCTGTGCAACAGCTCTGCCACAACTTCTACAACAGACGGAGAGAGTTGGTGTACTGGAATGCACCAAACACACCTTCAGCAGGGACCTCAACAGCCCGCACCAGGGCGCCATCCACGTCCGGCCTACTGCTGCTCTCTCCTCCCGCAGTGTCGCCCTCCCTGACGACCACGCAGCTCTTGGTGGCTGCTCGGTGGAACACACAAATCCCGCCGCACCTGCCGTGCCTCTCGCAGCACGGCCCGACTAATCCTGGCCTCACCCACCCGACTTGGCCTCCAGAAGCGATGGCAGCCTGCCCATCATCTCCTACACCCCTGGTTCTCGCCTCAACTCGAAACCCTAGTCAAAACTTGCGCGTCGTGTCACTCAGTAATGTCCTTACCACGGGATCACGCACAACGCTCCTGCTGCTGCTTCTCACCACAGCTGAACTCTGAAGATCATCGGGCTCCTCCGGAGGATGCATTCTAGAATGTTGGTATGCCCTTGTTGTGTGACCTCCAGAGTCCAAAGAGTGTTGTTAACGGCATGTATTATCGTAGGGGGACATGAGGGAGAAGGAGGGTGGAAGAGTGCGGCCCAAAGCCAGTCGAAAAGGGGGCCCGCAACTCGTATCTCAAGGTCTCTACTAGCCGCCCCTCAAGGCAATCCCATCTGCGGTACACGAAACCGCCAGTGATTTGGTACAATCCGACTAATCTACCTCCACGCACGAACAATATAGACTATGGTGTCGCCTTCATATCAGCAGTACATCGACACCATCAGGCGACTTATGTTAGCTTGTCTTATCTTGTGAATGGCAGACTACCAACCCAGTCAATAGTCTGGTACTTTGGATAAAACGTGAAAATGCAAGGTTATGAAAATGTCATGATCAAGCGAAGCGTTCGATCTCGCAGTCAACAAATAATCCAATTCTTGAAAGGAAACCGGGGGCGGTTCGTCCAGGGCAAAAATGTTGTGCGTTTTTGCTTGCCTCGCGGATTGTTGCCAGTTAGGCTCGCCGTTCCTATTCCTCAACTGATATATCTTTCAGGGTAGCCCGCCGACGTCGTTCGTCGGGCGGACCCACTCCGTCTTCAGGCGAGTCGCAGCTGGCTGGGTCCAACTGCCCCAAGCCGCAGGAAAATCATGCTCACACCACCGAAGTATTGGAATGACGCCCGCGTTGTATCGGCGACAAGGAGTAGCAAGGTGGGGGTCAGCCAGTAGCAATATTGCATGATATGCAGCAGCCGACTGAGTGGGTGCACGTCGAAACTTTGGAAGGAGCGTTGTATGGGAGGCGGCTGTTTATGACCTACGTACTGTACAGCCAATAAAAAGTTGGGGGGCGACTCTTTGCCATCGTCTAGGGAGCTACCAACCAAGCACGAAGGGTGTGAAAAACAATACGAACACTGTTGAACATGGCCGAGCCAGCCATACTGAACTAAAGTCGATCCGATTTAGGCTACCGCAGAAGCAGAGGGCTCGGTCTCGGCCAGCAATTGCCAGGATGAGTGGAATGCGGGAAGCAAGAAGGAAATGTGGGGTGCACAATGATTCCCTTGGTTCGGCTATATCACATCTTCTACACAAAGATGGTATCATCGTTTCCGACGTGATGCAGCCTGATCGCAAGATGAAATACATGGTATGCACACGAACACCCAGATCCGTCCGTTTTCGTTCGCTGCACACAACCTTCTGTCGAATGCATCATAATGATTCTCTTGGTCGTGATACATATCATTCAATCGGTAGGCGAGCATTGCATTGATAGGCGAGCATTGCGCTGATAGGCGAGCATTGCATTGATAGGCGAGCACTGCATGACATTGCATTTCATTGAACATTTCAAAAGATTGATTGTTGAGCATGTAAAATAACAGTTTCGGTGGCAGGGGCATTTCATTTTGGGACCAAAAAAATCAGTATGATGCATAGGACTGTAGTTTTTGTGTTGTGTACATCGACGTGCTCCCGTACATCCCAAAAAAAGAGTATGTCCGGTTTGCTCTTGAGGGGCACCCGCGGCGAATGGTGGGATCCCATAAGTTGTGATGCTGAACATATAGTGAACCCATTGGCACGGTCGCTGATAGGCTATACTCTGTTGCTGTAGTCGTGAACGTAAGGCGGTGACGAGATATCAATGGTCTAGTGTGTGTGCACCTGATAAAGTGGATCCGCGGAAGGAAGAGGGACGATTTCGAGGGGAAGTGCACAAAGGTCTACATAGGCAAACCAAGGTTTGTGATGCTTCGAAGTTTCGTTTTCCTTGTGTGCAGAGTGATCGTGGGCGTGCGTTGCCAATTGAAAAAGTCTCTGTGGTAAGCCCAGCAGAGAAAAATATGGTTTTTCCAATAGCTAATTGTCTGCCTGCGCGTTTGATGGTTTGTGTTCAATGGTGTTGGACTTTGAGGCGTTTGTCGTTCAAGAGAGCCAGCTATCTCGAGGAGGAAAAACAAACCTCGGAAAACGTTTCTCAGTCGGATAAGGGATACGGCACAAGGCTGGGGCGGGGAGAACTGTATTATAGCAATCGATCACATCCATCCTCTGATCCACTTCGTCCATGTTTTCACTGGTTCATCCACAATCCAGGTTACATCCGTCGATCCAATCAGCCCATGGAAACATCCGCCAATTACTTTATTGGGGGATCAGTTGTACCGTCAACCGACCCATGCGTTTTGATCGATCACAGTTCTGTCCAAAGTAGGGTTGTTACCTGTAGAGCCAGCGCAAGCACTACATACAGTGCATCCAAAAGTCCGCTCGAGCCAACTATCCATTCGTTGTCTGCAGCGATGTACATTGTTGCAGAATTTTCGCTTAGGTTGTCTCAGAGATAACATTCATACCCCGATTCAGTCTGCTCAGGCACGCACCAATTGTGGCAGTCTGCTGGCGCGGCGAGATCTACAAGGCAATAGATCGGTTTAAGGCGTCAATCCATATCATCCCTGGGCTTATCATGCAATCCACTTCATCGATTGGCGTCGTTATTTCCCAAACAACTTCAAATCGGTCGATTCATTCCGCCTATCCATCCATTTCGGCGATCCTTTCATTGGGGCATCCATCGTTCCGTAAATCCATCCATGAACACGTGAGCCCATTTGATCAATTTCAGCTCTCACCGGTCTGACTGTGCGGTAGTGCCGCTAGAACCAGCAACCGTGTACATTCCGAAGTGGTTTAGTAAGCTTGAACGCGTGGACTAACATCCTCACGAACGATTTCAGGCATATTGCTTGCGTTCGGAATGACTGCAGCCCGGTATTGCAGACGTCCCCCGTCTTTGCCAAGACTTCCCTCGATGACACTTCTTTGCATAAACATGTTTTTCCACAAGATACGAATGAATGTGAATGAATATAGGTGTAGGTGTTGTTTGGACCAGAGTATTTCCACAGTACGTGAAATCCCACCTGACTGTCAACCTGACACCGATAGCGTGCATGGCCGCCTGCAACTGCCGCCGACGACTGCCGGTGTCTGCGCTTGCCTCGGCGACCGTGTTCTGTGCGGCACCGGACCTTTCGTGATGGAGATCCGCGAGTCTCCTGGTGAGCATAGAACAGATCACGCAACAGAAGGGCGGTTCTGAGTGGAAACATCGTACAGCCGAGGAGCAGCTGCGACTACACACTCAGGAGGTCCACAAAATATTTCAGCCAACGTTCATCTGGCGTCATGGTTCCCCAAATCACTTCAGTATCGACGAGTCTCTATGAAACCATGTTGCGTGTCTTGGCGTTGTTCCGATTAGAGTACCGCTCATTACATCCAACCGTGACCACACGAACAGGTCCGCGAGCTACTGTCAAGAACCTACAAAGCTTACCAATAAGCCGTTGTCCACTGGGAGGCAAGCTCCTTTGTCGTGTCGAGGACGGATGTCGAACCAAGATGTCTTCCTTCATGACACCCACTACATACGAATCGAAAAGGCAGTGTTCCACACGCAACATAATGGGGGGCGTGGCGAGGACAGGGGTACTATGAAAATCTGCCTTGAAGCCACCCGAAACCCGTGTGCAATAATGGTTTTCAAACCCGAAGTGGTCGACCAGTGTACTTGAAGCCGTTGGGAGGACAAACACAGATATCCAGGGTCATCACAAGACAGCGCTCGTGCACAGTTGAATGAGTTGGTCAAGACCATTGCTTCTGGCCCCCTTTTTAGCGCTGATCATTTCCCGCCCCTCCTTGATTTGCTAAAGACACTGCCACCGCCTTATTGTGGGGATTCAGAAGGAACCTTAGATGCGGTCTTCATCACGGTGCGGTGTCTCCTACTCTGTCGTCAAGACCGCAGTAAACAGGACCGCGGAAGTATTGTTGGCGGCGCAGCACAATGTGTGGACTAAACCTAACGTTCCATGATGATATTGTGGATAGTCTACCCCGTCATGATTTTGTCACGGATGAAAGTGGCATTCGGCTGTTTCTTCGACGGTACATCGCCGCCAAGGCCGCGGTTCGTGCGGTTTTTTCACGGGTGTTGCGACAAAACCGCACGACAAAGCCGCACCGCACCGCACCGCACCACACCGCACCGCACCGTGATCGTGAATACAAACACAAAACCCTGGTGCGATTCTCCACCGTGAACATCGCTGAGATTTCCCGTCGGAAAAATTAATCCGAGTACACATACTCCTCCTCCCCTCCCTGGCCTGCTCCCCGGCCGGGGCCGAAATCGACCTTGTGAGTCCCTCGCGGACGAACCAGGCCACAACAGATAGTAGGTGGGTGGTGTCCCAAGGTGCAACTCACCGCCGCGCTGGCTCAGCGTGGCGGTGAGGATGCACAGACGGTGGTAGTGGCGAGAGGTGTATGTGGACCTTGTCCCCGCGGCAGCAATGCAAAGCGGCAAACTGCACCTGGTAACCACCGTCGCGGAAAACGTGGCCCACGAAGCTGGAGGAGCAGAGAGATTCGTAAAAACCACGCGAGTAAGCACCGTTCGCGGGAGAAGGGAGATAACCGCGGGCGACGCGGGGGGGGAGTGCTGCACCCTCCTCGTCCAAACACCACAGGCAAGCACCGAGCCCTGCAAAGATGGATCGATGCGAAGAAACTCGCCGCTCGGATTAAACGGAAGAAA